AAATTCATCGTCATTAGTGTTCAATTTATTCTGGCTACTGTCAATTTACTCGATTACTGTAAATTCACTTTTGACTAATATGTAATTCACTTTGTTTATTATAAATTTATCTTCATTAGTGTCAATTTATTCTGGCTACTGTCAATTTACTCGATTACTGTAAATTCACTTTGATTACATATAGAAGCAACAAAATATCAAAACGAGCCAATAAATTTGCAGAAAAACATTAAACAAAATATCAGATTAACCAAAATCGCTTGACTTATTTATTACTTGGCGGTTATTGCAGGCTTATTAATGGATGTCATTGCATTTTGACAGTTATCGTATGCTGGGTCATTTTTCACTGCGCAAGAAATTTGATCAGGTATTTGACGTTTCCTGAAAATGATTTCCGTTACATTTACTTTGGATCCTGGAGAATGAAATTCATTAAAAAGTTATATTGATACTACAAAGCAACTAATCGGAAAATGATTTAATTTTACTTAATTCTTCTAATTTTGTCACAAGTTTTCAATTCAATTTTGTCACAAGTTTTCAATTCCACCACTTTTGGATCAACATATTTGAGGACATAATCTCCTATACCGTGGCATTGGTTCACCATATCTTTGGATGATGACCAAATGATAGTACCTTGTACACCCATAACAAAGGCTGTATTCAGTGAATGGGATAAATCATCCTGAAAATTTGGTAATTGAAACTTTTGCTATAATTAGATGGAAAGTACGAATCTAAAATATCTCAAATATAATGACAGATTATAATGCAAAATCGGATATTGCATGTATAAATTTGTAAAATCTGGTTTGGGTTTTGATTTTTTTTTTTTATGTAAGAGAAATTTGACTTGAGTATAATATGGATCAGCAGATTCCAATGGAAAGCACTCAATGTCATTGAACGTGAATATCGATATTGACAAGTTCTCTGCACAACGTTTAGCTTCTTGAAGGACGGAAGTGACGTACAAACAACCAGTACGACCACTTTTTCTGCTTGGCAAATAAATGGACGGATAAAAAGCGGTAGCTTTAGCATACAGAGGTTGTAATCTGCATAATTTTTCAAATTTTTTTATTTAGAAAATTGATGAAATAAATTTCGAAGGAATGAAGTAAAAACAGAATGCTGTAAATATAATAAACAACGAAGTATAAGTAAGGAATATGCAAATTATTTTTTGGAAGAAATTACTATAAAAAATATGTAAAAGCAAAATAAATTACGTGGCGGTATTATCTGTTGAAGGCAATATTTCATGTAATCTTAAATTTTCCTTGAAATTTCATCCCTAACCAAAAATATTTATGCTAACCGATTATTGAATTCTTCAAATACTTCTCCACATCCTTCAGTGCCATTTTTCCCTGCACTGTAATTGCAAAATGGCATGCCATAAAATTCCCATAAGGCATTTGGTCTCATATTTTTTGCTTCACGAATAGTTTCCGTTAAAAAATTCCTAAAGTATAGCTGTTCTCTAATTTGAACTGAACTTCGTCGACAAATAAAATTTTCGTTTTAAATGTCCTACAGTAACCTAAAAAATTATTTGCTTTTTTTGGTTCAGAGGTTGAAAAGCAGATAATTTACTCACATTGCTGCCTGATTGAATTCTTTTTTAGCCAGTTCATCACCTTTGGTTAAAGTTTTTCCCGTATTTTTGTATTGTTCCTCAACATAAGCCAGCGATGCATTATGGTAAATCCGTCTCGTATACCAGTTATGTTCCCAAAGTGGTCTCCATTCTTCGTAATCGATTATTGCCAAACCATCGAAATCCTTATTCGGTATCGCTTTGTCTATATCACTGCGAACTTTCGACAAATGCGCTGAAAGATTTGCGCGCTGCAAAATGGAATTAATTTCATTGAAACGGAAAAATGAATGAATTAAAATCGAATTGAAAAAAATTTAATATTCTATTGGAGAGAAATCTATGAAATTTCATTGATATATCCTCAATAAACAACTAAATATGGTTGTATACTGATGGAATGATTCAATCTATCATCAAAACTGATTCTCAAAGAGTAAGTACACTTTGCTAATTATGTATGCCTCTTCCATAAGTGATGTGTTGTGGCTGTGATTCTACATGGAAGGTTAAAGGTTGAAGAAACGGATTATCTCAATGACTTGAGA